CAGCATTTTCCAGGCAGAACCAGATTCTCTGCAGCTTTAAGGTAACCCAAGAGAGTGCCTGCCACCCAGTGCCATGGAGCAATTGTGTGCACGCTTTTTCTGAGTGTGCAGACAACTCTGTGTGTATGAAATCTAGATTTTAGTAGATATGGCTGGAAAATACTCTTAATGAGGACATCCCAGCGAGGTGGCCCTGTGCTTTCTCTTCTACTCATCATGTCTTTGTAACAGCCACTTCCACTTTTTTTTTCCCATGGAACTGATACTACGTCAGGCCTAAAAAGCAGATTTGCGATCCAGAACTGCTCAGGAAAACTCAAACACTTCTGGAAAGAACATGCTGGCTTTTTCTGAGGGGAAGCAGTGTTATGGCTGTGTAAGCTTGAAGTTGACAGTGATGGTTTACAGAACACTTAAGCACGATCTTTGCTTGAATCCAGTCACAATGAGACAGGGTGGAAAGGCAGAGCAGTAGATGGGCAGCATCATTTGAGCTTTCCTAACAATGTGTGTCTGAAGATTTGTTCATCTCTGATCTTCCTAGAATTGGAAATGTCTTTTGTTTAACAAGCAGAATTTAGGGTTCTGGTACTTGCCTCCCACAGTCCTGACTAAGACACGTATCAAACATTAAAGAGGTGCAAACACAGAAAACTTGCTACAAGGACTTGATGAGAGATGAAGAAAGGAAGCAAGGGACCAAGTAGAGGCATAATGAAAGTTATCTTCCTGGTTGGAAAGTAAGTTATGAACTTATTTTCTTCTGTGCTGCAAACTCAGAGGCAGCAGAATTTGTATTTGATCCCATCGGAGGTGCACGTTCCATACACGCCTTCTTCAAGGCGACAGACTCCTATTCTGCAAGAGCATCTCAAGCGGGTCCTTGGGCCTGGGGACACATAGAGCATCAGGCATTAGGACTGTGGTCAGATGGGGTGGTAAGGAGAATCCCCGTGCAGTTTACCTCCTGGGCTGATCGCATTCATCATGGTGGCCACATCACAGCAGCAGCAAAATCAGCCCAATCAATAGGAATCAATGTACACGGCAGTGCTGCTCACAGGTAGGATGAGAGACCCGTTCTCATTCACTCACCTTTTTGTGTTCCTGCCTCATCACCCAGGCATCGGATCACACTCTTAGACCTGTCCCCAGTTTCTAAAACTCCTCTAATAGACAAAGTGAACTATATTTTTTGAAAAGTGTGCTCTCACCAATGATGCAGGGGAGATGGCCCAGTATGTTTTTGCAGAGTATAAAATAAGTGTGAGTCTCAGAATTGTCAGAAAATCCAACATCTTTGGAGAAAAGTCATCCCTGGAATATCAACTGGTTCCTTCCTTTTACTGTGCACATGAGGAAATGGAGACCTGGGGAGGTGTTCACAAAAGAGAAAGAGCCAGCTGTTTTTCCTCTCTAAAAAGAGCCAACTGTTGTGTCTGATTCTAAAGGTGCCTGGTTTTTCCTCTCTGGATTTCTAGCTCTGCAATGCTAGAATATCTCACCTGAAGCTCTAAAATCTGAGCTTGCGTCCTGTGTGAAGGAGATGGCCCAGGCTGCTCCTGGGCTGCAACCTTGTCAGCTCTTCACGGGGATGGCTGAGCCTAGGACTGGAGGGCCACCAGGAGAATGGCAGCAGGGAGGGTGAGAGTCCTCATCGTGGCTGGGGTCACCTGCAGAAGGGAGAGCAGGAGCGGATGTGTGGGGAGTGAGGAGTCAGCCTGGATGTATAGGTCTGCTGGGAGAAGGGCTGAGACAGATGCTGCAGTGAGAGGAGGTGTGCATGTGATGAGTGGGGGCAGGGCTGCCCTTGCCCTCCAGGTCCCTTTTGTGTTCTGGTGTTTTCCAGGCTTTCATCGTGGCCGTGAGGCCTTATGTTTAGAGTGTCTGGACTGGATCCAAGCTGATAGGGAGGCTGAGGACCCTGATTTACTTTTCTGTTTGCAGTTTACTTGAATATTTTCTTTTTGATACTGAAACATGTAAAGAAACCACAATTTCGTTCATTAAGTTGGGAAACAAATGCCTCTTATTTTCTGAAGATGGGCCCTGCCACTCTCGGGAGCCCCAGACCTGAACCCGATGGAGTGGAAAGTTGAACCTTAGCAGAATTCAGGAGCATTTCCACCCTCATGAAGAGGTTATAGTGTGTGTAGCCCCTCCTGGGGCCAGTGTGAAGAGGACAAAATGACGTTTTCAGGCTAAAGGCGAAACGAGCTCATTAGGACACTAGGTCAAGAGTAAGTAAAACTAAAGTCAAATTATGGGTTAATTTTAAGAAATGAATGTGCTTTGTAAGATTTGTACCATTAACATATCAGTACTATAAGAAATATCTAAACATTTGACATGTCCGTAGCCCTCTTCTAGAATCTTTGATATTGTTTTAATTATAAAATCTTTTTTTCTTTCTTTCTTTTTTTTTTTTTTTGAGACAGAGTCGCGCTCTCTCACCCAGGCTGGAGTGCAGTAGTGAGATCTCGGCCCACTGCAACCTCTGCCTTCCGGGTTCAAACAATTCTCTTGCCTCAGCCTGGACCCCAATAGCTGGCATTACAGTCATGCCCCACCATGCTTGGCTAATTTTTGTATTCTTTTCAGAGATGGGGTTTTGTCATGTTGACCAGGCTTGTCTCAAACTCCTGACCTCAGGTGATCCACCTGCGTTGGCCTCCCAAATTATATCTAGAATCATGCAGCTGAAATAGCAGGTGGAAAGGGTAACAGGCTTCCATCCGTTCCCTCAGCCCTGCGGTTCTGCTCCTGGAAACCACCACTTCCCAATTTGACACATTCTTCCTCACTTGCTTTTTCCTTCTAATGCTGTGTCTTGTACACGTTGTATATCAAAACTCAAAGAACTCCATCATTACAGCTATACCCTATACGATTGCAGCTTTTGCACATGCCATCACTTTATTATTTTTATATTGTGAAAATGTGGTCAAATTGTTATAATTTCTTTATTTCTAAGCTTTGCTATGACAGGTTTAAACAGCTATAAATATAATTTTATAGTCATCATTTTTCCTGTAAGTGACAATATCTTTTTAATATGTTTTTAGAAATAGAATTGCTGGGTTAAAGAACGGGTCTTAAATATTTTGAATTTGTTGCTATGTTGTCCTTAATAAAGTTTGTTCAATGTGCTAAAAACAGAAATCACCCCAACCCTTGCCCAGTGGAACTGCTTTTAGAAAGCCCTGGTTGGTACAAAAGAAATTGCCGTATTTGTATTGTTGAAATTTGCCGTTTGATAATGGAATACATTGTTAAATAAATGTGGTTACATTTTAGACCATTTTAATGCACATTTGTCACTTTATGTTTTTTTGCTGGTAACTTATTACGTGCTGTCTATTTTATATTTATTTTATTGTGGAAATGATGTTAGACAAAATGCAAATTGGAACAATTTTCTTATTTTAGTTCAAAATGGGTCATAAAACAGCAGAGATAACTCACAACATCAACAACGCATTTGGCCCAGGACAGCGCATTTTGACTCACTGCACTACTGCTCTAACCAACATACAGGACAGTGGTGGTTCAGGAAATTTTGCAAAGGGCACCTAGAGGATGAAGAGCATAGTGGCGATCCATTGGAAGTTAACAACGACCAGTGAGAGCATTCATTGAAGCTGATCCTCTTACAACTACACGAGCAGTTGCAAAGAACTCAACATCAACTGTTCTGCAGTTGTTCAGCATTTGAAGCAAACTGGAAAGGTGAAAAAGCTCAGTAAATGGGTGCCTCATGAGTTGACAGAAAATTTAAAAAACCGTCATTTTGAAGTGGTGTCTTCTCTTATACTACAAAATGACAAAGCATTTCTCGATCGGGATGTGACATGCAACAAAAAGTGGATTTTATACGACAGCCAGCGGAGATCAGCTCAGTGGTTGGACCGAGAAGAAGCTCCAAAGCCCTTCCCAAATCCAAACTTGCACTAATATAAGGTCATGGTCACTGTGTGGTGGCCTGCTGCCAGTCTGACCCACTACTGATTCAGCTTTCTAAATCCCTGAGAAACCATTGCATGTGTGAAGTACGCTCAGCAAATCCATGATATGCACCAGAAAGTACAACACCTGTAGCCGGCATTGTTCAACAGAAAGGGCCCAAATCTTATCTACCTAATGCCCAACAGCATGCCACACAACCAGTGCTTCAAAAGCTGAAGGAATTGGGCTGTGAAGTTTTGCCTCATCTGCCATATTCACCTGACCACTTGACAACCGACCACCACTTCTTCAAGCATCTGGACAGCTTTCTGCAAGGAAAATGCTTTCACAACCAGCAGGATGCAGAAAGTG